GTCCGAGCTGCTGGGGCTGCGGGATGGGGAGACTGGGCGCGTGGGCTGGATTCCGCACACGGGGCGCGAAGCCTCTCACCCCTGACCTGGCTCCATGGGCAGGCTAGGATTTTGTATCCCCCGCCCGAGCACTGTGCACTCGGACTCCACATCCCGGATCGAACTTATACTAACCCCTCTACTCGCTCCCGAAAGACCAGGACCCCACTTTGTGAGTTGGATCCTACACCTCCCAAGGAGAACCCCCTCCCGCACTGCAGACTGAGGTTCCCCCCAACCCCCCCACTCAGGACTGGGGCTAGGTATGTCTCAGGCCGGTGCGGGGAGGGGCGGGATTCTGGCTGAGACGTGGGTTTTCACTCACTCCAGAAAGCAGCTGGCAGGTGCCAAGACCCAGCTTTCCGACACCAGCGCCCCATGGCAGGGTCTGTATCCCGGCACCATCACCTGAGCCTCCCAGGGCCAGGCCCCGGGCCTCGGGGCCTTCCCACACTCTGCGGGTGAGAGGCCTGGGTCAGCGGGCCTCTGGACCCCCGGCACTTCCCACCCAACTCAAATCTCCCCTGTTCAGTGGACCTCCAGGGGTCCTACCCCCTCACCTGGCAGGGCGATGGTGCAGTTCTCATCCATGGGCTCCTGGGGGCCGGATTGGGGCCCCCGGGACTGCGGGGGAAAGGCGGGCCCAGGCTCCGGGCCCATCACCTTTTCCCGGATCCATGCCTCGTAGGGAGCCACCGCAGTGAAGACTCCAGGGCGGTTCCTTCGTGCACAGCCAAAGCCAAAGCTGGTGATTCCCGCCAGGAACCACCGTCCTTGTTCCTCACAGACCAGGGGTCCCCCCGAGTCTCCCTGATGATAGATAGATGACTCCGCGTCAGGGGATCGGCCCAGGGACCCACCGGTGTATACTGGGCCACCTTCCAAAGGTTCTACACCTCTTCTTGTTGGACCAGCAAACAGCCACCTTCTCCTGGGAGACTGGGGCTAGGTGGTGTCAGATCCTGTATTCCCTACGACTCTAAGCGCCAGAAAGGCCGATGAGGAACGGCCAAGCCAAGAGCGCCAAACCAATGCACTAAAGGCCATGCCAGAGAGACCTTCAGGGAGACACTCAGAGCCAAATGACTCGTGTTCAATGAATAGTTCAAATAGATGCTGTTTTGGGTTTCTAAGATCACCCAGTTGTTAAAGTGAATCAGAGGTGCCAGCGTTTAGGAGGCTGTTAAAAATAGGAAATCTCAAAGCAGCAGGAAGACAGGAGGAAGGACTACAATGAACAGACACTAACACAGGAGTTGTGGGCATTTCGTGCTTAGAGGAATGGTCCCTAAGACATCTCTATAGTCCAGGACAGGTATCTCTGGGACCTGAACAGGGTCACAAAGAAGGCTCAGAATCCTCTAGAACTGTGCTGTCCAGCATGGCAGACACTAAATAAAATTAAACTCGGCCAGCATGGCTCAGTGGTTGAGTGTTGACCTGTGAGCCAGGAGGTCAGGGTTCAATTCCAGGTCAGGGCACAGGCCTGGGTTGCAAGCTTGATCCCCAGTGAGGGGTGTGCAGGAAGCAGCCAATCAATTATTCCTTCTCATCATTGATGTTTCTATTCCTCCCTCTCCCTTCCTCTCTGAAATCAATAAAAATGTATTAAAAATAAAAGATTTAATTCCTCAGTTACAGTAATCATATTTCAGATGTTTTTCAAATGTTCAGTAGACAATGTGGCTAGTGACCACTACCCTGGACAGTGCAGATACAGAATATTTCCATCACCATAGGAAGCTGTGTTGGACAGCGCTGGTCCAGAGGGATTTGAATTGTTTGCAATCCTGTTCAAGAAGGCGGAGGATTATGTACATAGGTCACAGAGCTTCATCATTGGGAGGGCCCCTGAAGACCATCTAGCTTGAATCCCCATTGCCACCACCCAGGCTGAGTACCCTAAAAACGTGTGTGATTTGAGAAAGGTTTGTGGGGAAAATAGTTATCATATTACTATATTTTGGCCTTCAGAAGGTGATCTGGAAAATTCCCTTCTGGGAAGGATTAATTCATTTTTAAAGATAACTATTGATTGAGCATATACTAATAGATGCCATGCTCTGTTCTTCTACATCCTCATCTCAGGAATGGCCCCGTCAAGCACCCAGAGAGAGCTGGGAAGTGGGATTATAATAATGTTAGTAGCTGATACTTATTTAGCTCTTATTAAGGACCACATACTGTTCTAAGTGCTCTTACATGTATAAATTAATTTAATCATCCCAACCGCCCTATGAGGTAGGGAACACTCTCATCTCTGTCCTCCAGATAAGAAAGTCTGGACGTGAGGTTAAATAACTTGGTCAAGGTGCCCGACGGGTGTGGCTCAGGGGTTGAGCGTCAACCTATGAACCAGGAGGTCACGGTTCCATTCCTGGTCAGGGCACATGCCTGCGTTTCAGGTTGGGTCCCCAGTGGAGGGGTGTGCAGGAGGCAGCCAATCAATGATTCTCTCTTATCATTGATGTTTCTCTCTCCCTCTCCCTTCCTCTCTGAAATCAATAAAAAGATATTTAAATAACTTGGCCAAGGTTACACAGCCAATGTGTGGTGGTGCCCTGCTTCAAACCAGGCAGACTCACTCCAGAGTCTGGCACATAACCACTGCACGTACTGCCATAAACAACAGTGCCCACCGTTGAGCCCCAAGTTCTGTCTAGTTATAATGTTCACATCAATCCCACCTATTGGCATCTTGCCCTCTTTTTGCAGATAAGGCTCAGAGATACGAGAGAGATGGCGCTTGTCTGCTTCTCACACTGCTTCCTAGTGGTTACCTGTCAGGCAGATGCAGGGACCTGCCCTCACCTGGCAGGTGTCCTTGCGGCCCTCTGGGTAGCCAGCACACAGCATGCCTGGCAAGAGCTGGAGAGTGAGGTTGAAGGGGCCAGGCCGGCTGTAGAGACACTGACAGGCAGCTTCTCCCAGCAGCTTTAGCTCCACCTCTTGCAGCACCCAGGGGAGAGGCAGGGGGTCTGTGGGCAGAAGGAGAGAGCAAACACTGAGGCAGGTGTGGAATCCCCTGTTCCCCAGGGCTCAACTTTGTCCCCCCCCCCCCCCCCAGCTGCCTCCTGGACCTATCAGATGCTCAGTATTTCAGCCCACCACATCCAAAACCAGTCATCGTCTCCTGCTCCTCTCCATCCTTCTTCCTAAACCCTCATCTCCAGAGTGAGATGAGGAGAGGAGCTGCCACAGATGGTTTCATACTGCACAAAGGCACCCAGCCAACAGAGGATGGATGTGAGGGCTAAACCCGCGAAGCTCTGGGCCCTGACATGGGCTGTGTCAGTCCTGAGAACGTACCCTTTTCAACAAAGATGCCATATACACTAGATGCGGTCCTGTACCAAGTTGCCAAGCATGGAATCAGGGTGCCATCCCTGACCCTGTCTCAACTTCCCCTTCTCAGTAAGTTCTCAAGTCCAGAAAACCCATCATTGTGACCTCTGGGCATTCTTACTGCCACTTCCCCAGTTCAGGAGGCATAAGCTTGGGCCTGGCTGATTGGCCTGGCCTCCTCGCTGACCGGTTTCCCGACCGCCCTTCACTTGTTGCTGCCAGAGAAATGTTTCTAGAGTTCCGCTCCGATCTTACCAAGGACAGACAATGGCTCCCACTGTGTAACCCTGAGGGCTCCGTCCTTTCCGCAGGGGAACCCGCTTTCGGTGGAGATAATGTCTCAGGATCCAGCAAAAGTGGGTGAGGGTGTGGACCGAGCTCCTTCCCTCCCCATCTAGCATCCCAGGCCGTGAGCTGATGGCTGAGCTGTACTTAAGGGTCAGCCAGGGAAGTTTAGGGATTGTCCTGGGGACCCCTGGAGCTGGAGGGGTGCTCTGGCCCTCAGTCTGACCTTATGGCCTTCATGGCCCAGCCCCACCGCTTTTTTTAAAAAAAAAAATATTTTTATTTATTTCAGAGAGGAAAGTAGTGGGAGAGAATCACGGATCAGCTGCCTCCTGCACGCCCCCTACTGGGGATCAAGCCCGAAATCTGGGTATGTGCCCTGACCTCCTGGTTCATAGGTCGGCTCACCCGCCATCCAGCTCAGCCCCACCAGCTTTTGCAGTCTCTGCCGCCTCTGCCCACTGCACTCCAGCCTGGCAGCCTGACCCTTCTCCATCTACGATGCCTCACCTGGATTTCCAGGGTGGCCTCCCTATCGCCCCACGTGCCTGTGATGCCAGCTGAGGCCCTGACTGCACAAAACCTCCCCAGAAATCTGCTCGGGGTGCGCGTTGTCAGGATGGCCCGGTCCACGCACACAGACTTCCTCGGTGCTCAGATGGGCCCTTCCTGCCACCTCCTGCCCGATGGGGCCCCTGCAAGCAGCGGCTGTGGCTTCTCCTCCCCACCCACCCGCTCTGAAGGCCTCGGCAGGGCGCAGGTCTGATCACAGATGTGGAATTGTGGTGGGGGCCTCGCGACCACGGAAAGATAACTTTCTGGAGATGAGGATTTACCTTCTAACATAAGTGTTTGCTTATTTAGCTGAAAAAGCATATGTCTACCCACTTAGTGACTAGAATGTAAAGTGAGGAGGCAGGACTTTTTGCTTATGTTCATTAGCATATTTCTAGTGCCTAACACAGTGCCAGGCACCAGGAGGTGCTCAAAAATCATCTGTTGCATAAAAGAAAGACGGACTACTTACCTGTGCCTTGCAACCCCGCCCCGCGGCCCTCCCTC